TAATTATCCATAATGTTCATAAGAAAAGTATAAACTTCATGTTAAAGTATAGAAAATCAACATGTTCATGATAAGAAAAATAATACATAAAAAAATATAAAAAATATAGGGGCTGAACCCATATTTTTGTTATATGAAAAGAAGAAAATAAAATGTGTTGATTTACTTGATTAGACAAAATTTTAACTTATTCCTCATTGCTTTAGGTTTTGAAGTCTTTGAGGGTTTAATACAACATTTAGCAGTGTATGTATTGATTGAACCCTAATAAATAAATAAAAAACAAAGAAAAAAGAGTATATAAGCACACGAAATAAATATTTTAGTTTAACAATGTCTATGTTACATGATTTAAGAATATATAGATATTTTTACCACACAATGTACAAGCTTACTTGATGATTGGGTGAGGGTGGATTTGAGTTGAGCCAAGCCGAATATGTAGCTATTCGAGCTCAATTTGCTAATAAGGCTCAAACTCGGTTCGAACTAGAGACTTGAGCTTGAATTTGGCTTGAGTCAAAAGCTCGTAAGTTTGAGCTATGTATGTATGTTTGTAAATGCTCGATTAGACTCATGAGTCGAGTTTTTTTATGATTGAACTCATATCGATTAGCAAATGAGCCTATATAGTAGGCTTGAACTCGACTCAAAACTCAGTTTAAACCAAGCCAAATCGAACTTTTCACAAACYGAGCTCGAATAGTTGAGTTGAACCTCTTTGGCCGCCTTGTCCAAACTATGATAATGTAAAAGATAGTTTTCATTCAATCTGAACTTAGGTATGAGCTTATGCATCTGTAGTTGCAACCTCTAATAAACCATGTGGAAAGTGAACTTTGATGGAGCCACTCTTGACTTGTGTGCCAATGTAGGCATTGTTATTGGTAATCATCATGTCATGCTATTTTCCTACAAAGCAAAAAAGAATGCTAAATGTATGCAATAGAAGTTGAATCCTTAGCTATTCTATAGAGTACTAGATTTTCTTTGGAACTCCAGCTTTCTATTGTAGTTTTTCAGGGAGATTCTTCAACTATTATACAAGCTCTGTTGGAGGAGAACTTTATTCCGTCTTAACAAGTCTGCAACAATTTGATAGATTGTAATGCTCTTTGTTCTAATCTTCCTCGGTGCTCTTTTGTATTTTCCCTTAGATCAACAAACAAGGTGGTTCACAAGATCACCTGTCATGGTCTTGTCTTGTTTTTCCCTCTATGTATACTTAGGCTCTACAACTTTTTCCCTATAGGATTATATTTACTAATGATATTAATTTGAGCACTTGATGGATTCACCTTATCAGGCTTAAAAAAATGTGGTTCTAGCAGATAAGGGCAATTTTTTGCCTTGAATATCAATAAAAGATAATATTTTATAAAATAACAAAAATAAGATAACTTTTTTTTTAAATATCAAAGAAGGACATACTGTTCATCGCCTTCCTCTTCCCAAGTGCCCCGTATTTGCATTGGACTCTTGCTACAGAGTCTTCAGCAATCCAATGGACTCTCAAGTCGCAGCAATGCTAACCAACCCGATCGCGTTTTCTCCAACTCTACCGAGCAGCCCTGTGATACAAAGTAGAGGAAAAAGACCTAGGAGTGGGAGTGACTTCTTCCAACTCCCTAGCTCCAACCCAAGTACGACGACAATGCAACTTCCTCTAGTTCCAACACCCGGAATGCATCTTCAAGGTAAGATTGATTGATCTAGGTATAACTTTTCTTTTCTTCTTATTTCTTATTTTACTTTTTCTTTTTTGTCATTAATTAAAAGCAAATGCAAAACTTATAAGGTAAGAAAGAAGGAAACAGGGGATAGTAGTTGGAATTCTCTACCATACGAAGACTCTTGACAGAAAGACAGATAGATGTTTTAGAGGATTCTAACGCTCATCCCTCTCAGGGCTCAGCTAGTCTGGACAAACATTCCCATTTAAAAAAAAATTCTAAGCGATTTGTATTTGCAAGTGATGGATCTCAGGTTGAGGCTCATGCTAGTGATCCTCAACATCAACATCCTCCAGCCGCGACAGGGATTTATGAGTTAACAACCACTGTGGATGCATTGCAGAACGCCTTTCCAGATACTAATCCACAATATGTCAGCCCTTCAAGAGAACGGTGTCACCACCTGTGCCCCTGGTGAGAGCTCTCAAGACCGAAACAACAATCGCAAAGGAAAAAGCCGCCTGTGCCCTGCTTCGCCTGGATTCACCATCATGATCCCTGCTTGAGTTGTTCATCAATTCAGTGTATTCGGATGAATAGGGTTATTGCATATTTTTCAAAAAAAATTACCTTATTTTTGTTATTTTATAAAAATATTATCTTTTATTGATATTCAAGGCAAAAAGTTGTCCTTATCTACTAGAAACCCTAATAAAATATTACACACATATCCCAATGTGTTGTGTGAGGTATGACATTGAAAATGCATCCATACACAAAAGTTGAGTGTAAGAGATCCGTACATTGACCTAAATTTGTAACAAATACTRATAATCCATTTGGTGTTCTCAGTTAGAATCAGAATTGGAATCAAAATATATCATTTGAAATTGGAATCGCAATGGTCTATTCCTATAGTATGTTTGGTTCGATTAGGAATCAAAATGGGAATTGGAATAAATTGGAACAGGATTTCATTCCCAATGGAGGAGCGAGGGATGCCATTTCACCAAGAATGAGAATGAAATCCGATTATGCCCAACCAAATAATTGGATCTGGAATGACTCATTACAATTTTGATTTCAGACTCGTATTCGTGCAAACCAAATAGGACCTAAACGAACAATTATACATTAAATTTTGTAGACAATTCACCTGGGCTCATGAATTCTGAATAATGTCAAAGTTGTTAATTATTCCATTGTTTTAAAATGAAATAAAGACTATTTGGTAGTCACTAGTTAAGTCAACACTATAAATACATGTGAATATCGTGCAATCAGATTTTTTCAAAACAAACAATGCCAACTCCAAAAACGGTTGATATTTAAGTATGTATTTGGTTCTGTGGGTGTTTATGGATGAAGCATTTATTGTTTTAAATGTTTATTTGAAAAGCATCACTTTAAGTATGTGTTTGGTTTCGTGGGCATTTATAGATATGTTGTTTATTTTTACTTTTTCACTTTAAATGTTTCATGTTTTTATTGTTTGATTGAGCTTTACTTTAAACATTTTTCACTCTCCACCTCAGATTAATATCCATTAAAGTGTGTTACATCAGGATTTAGTTTCATAAATGTTAGGCGTTGGGGGAAACAAGAATTTGACGTTTCCCCAAATGCCCCATGCACAAAAATCAAAGTGTTTAAGTTTTCTACCATTTATTTGATAAATAGTGAAATCAAACAGTTGTTTCAATTTGCTTCAAATGCAATAAACACCAATGCCTATGTGGCACTAATGTAGTGGTGTTTTTTCAATAAACGCCCACGAAACCAAACACTGCCTAAATGTATATTGTTTTTATTGTTTGGTTGGGTGTTTTAGATAATATCCTATAAAGTTACTTTCCACCTCAGCTTAAGTACGAATCTGAAATTCCCCTAATGCCTCATGCACATAAATCAATGTATTTCTATTTTTTATTATTTATTTGATAAACGTTGAAACCAAATAGTGGTTTCATACACAAAAAACTCAAATGCCTATTTGGCGCTGATGTGGCAACGCTTTTTCAATAAATGCCCACAAAACTATGAGTATGAATCACCTATCAACAATATGTTCCAATCCTCTACCAACATGATCTCACACCACACATCTCATACATGGTGGGGTCCCACTTTTACGGTAGATCCCATACATGGTGGCTTGGTGGGATGTGCCTGTGAAGTCTGTGTGARGAATAGATCCGGACTCATATTTAAGCATGAATTAAGTCCCACTATCATGAAATTATTGTCATCATAAATGTGAACTCTAATGAAAGAATTTCAAACTTCCAAAAGCGTGTTCCACGTGTACCCATAGAGTTCCACGTGTTTCACATTTCACCACTACCAAAAATATGAAAACTTAAAAACTTGACCCCGGTTCATACTAAAATAATAAACGAACCAGCCAACTGGGCGGTGTGCATCCGATAATTCCGATTTGAGTGTGAAACATGAAAATTTGACTTAGCAGTGTTTTTCACGTAGATGCATTCTTTACAGGGATCCAAGTGGGCGGTTCAAATACTGAATTATTGCATTTTATAGTTCAAATACAGAGATCGGCTTCTATTAATATAAATCTGTACCACCACTTTGCAACAGCCTTTTACAATTTTACATTGGAAATATCTTGCTATCAAATAAAGTATACAAGTAKGAAAGTATTCTCAATGCAAGACAGCAAAGGCTACTCAGAACGGATTTTGCCCGGCCAAAGCTAAATTCTTATAAAACTTGGCCTTACAGTCGAGTTTCAAACACAAATAACGTGAAAAAGAAAAATAAATTAAAAGTTTGACTATGATATGAAAAATATATGATATCCGAAAAGCATCTAACCAATCAACTGGAATCATAAATATGATAACTAATTAGGTATTATTTATGAATAAATATCATAGATTTTCCCGTTAATTAATCCAGTTGATTTAAAATGAAAACCAGAAGAAACCGTTCGGTGGTCACTAATAACTCACTAGTCAGGTCAACAACAGAAATGAAAACGGTTGTAACAGTCAGCAATATCTCTATTTCATCGGTTTGATAGACGGCCTGTCTGTCTGTTCAGCTACTCCTGTACGATCGACTGTGATCCCAAACGTTAGATTATATGGATCAAAGATTTGGACCCACCTATCCGAAATCTATATCAAGTGGGGACACAGAACGCGAATAATCCGAGGTTGCGTAGACCTGATTGGCGGGCCACCTACCACTTACAAAATGAGAAAATGGCACACGGTGGACATGGACGAGGGAAACTCGGGGAATGAAAAAAATGAGAAAAGAAAAGGAGTGGGGGTGGGGGAATGGGTTGAGCATTGGAAGCGAACATGGGTGGGGCCGTGTGGGGCGGGGGAGAATGTGCGAAGCCGCTCTGAGAACATACGTCACGGCCCACGGAGAGAGATGCCAAGCCGCTCCGGGAGGGAAGGGAACTCCCATTTTCTTTTAATTGAAGCTCACGGCTACTCCCTCCCTCTGACTTCCTCCCGGAATTTATCTATTCTTCTCTCATTCAGGTCTCTCTCTCTCTCATATTTTCATTTATTTTTTGGTGTTATATATTGGTTGCAGTATTCAATTGCATGTTGCTGGATTCAAGTAGATAGGTTGTTTCTTCCAACCATCAATTTGGAATTTGAAGCTTCCTCTGTCTTTACTTTTTGTTCTTTTCTCCCTTATTTTGTATATACACACTCTTCTTTTTTTCTTTTTTTTTTTGGGGGGGGGGGGGTTGTCTGGCCTAGAAAGTTTAACATTGGAACCCTAATGCTAGTTCTGGCCTTCTGGTGTTCTGGACCCTGGTTTCTCTCCATGGGTTATTAGTTATTACATGCTCCAAAGTCCAAACACTTTCTGAATTTCAACCCTAGTCCCTAGGCTGAACTCTTCTCAGTGCTTAAATGCTTTTAACCGTTTTAATTGAAGGAAGGACTCCCACAATCATTATCTGAAATTGCTACAAAAAGTTTGTGCCTATCTGGTAGTGTTAATACTTAATCTTCTTTACAACATTCTGGTCGTTAGTTGAGTAACATTCGGAGTGCAAGTGCGCAACGTGGTACATGGTGCATTTAACCTTTTTGTATGGCATCAATCCGTAAAAGGAAGATATAGCTTGGTTTAGTAACGTGGCAATACAAAGGCATTCTAACTCATCTTATCATGAAAATAGAGGCTCAAAACATAGTATTGGAGAAAAAAATAGTATTCTTGTGGATCTTCCTCTTCTTATGTTCTTGAAGATTGGGAGAAGATAAGAGTTACCCTGTTTTCCATGAATCCACCAAGTACTGTAATATTGTATTCTTAGTTACGTTGTCATTGATGTAGATCCAAATATGTTTAACAATTATCAATCAGTTATGAATAGTCTATGCCATTTCCATAAATGAATTTGAAATTTAACGGACATAAGGAGTATTATAGTTCTTATTATTATGCTATTCTAAATTTTGGCATCCGTGGGTGGAACTGTAATCTCAACAGTCAACACCTCTCATTCATACTGATGTGCAAAATTATTCTTTTATAGATTCTATATCCGAATTCCAAATCAAGGTCCGGGAGCTTTTCTCTATGCTAGATGTGCGCCCTACCAGGTTTATTTCATTTGCAAGCATTTGAAGCAAGTTATGCAATGTGAACGGCTGTGACAGTGTTTGATGGGCTCCAATAAGCAGTCTCTTGGTTTACTGGATAACCTCAAAATGGAGAGGGTCAGGATGATTCTGACTCCGGCATATCCATATCCACATGAGCATTCCCGCCATGCTATAATTGCTGTAGTTGTGGGGTGTCTGTTCTTTATATCATCTGATAGCATGCATAGTCTGATCCAGAAGTTAGATAACAACATTAAATGGTGGTCAATGTATGCTTGCTTACTTGGATTTTTCTACTTCTTTTCATCTCCATTTATAGGGAAGACAATTAAACCAAGCTATTCAAACTTCAGTAGATGGTATGTAATTTTCTCTCATGCCCATCATTGTCTGCTATTCATTTGGTTCTTAGGTTATTCCTTATTCTAGTCTATAGCTTAACAGGATCAATTCAATGGTAGAGTTGGTCCTGTTGGATGTTTCTAACTTTAGAATTTAATTTCTTCCTAGGTATATTACTTGGATCTTAGTTGCGGCCCTGTATCATCTTCCCAGTTTTCAATCAATGGGAGTGGATTTGAGGATGAACCTATCTCTGTTTTTGACAATATATGTCTCATCTATTTTGTTTCTTCTTGTTTTCCATATTTTATTTCTTGGACTATGGTATATTGGACTTGTTGCTCGGGTGGCAGGAAAACGGCCAGCGATCTGGGCTATTATACAAAACTGTGCAGTAAGTGCTGAAGTTTTGTCTAGCACTTTGCTGTTATTGTTCTCTGTTTTTCTATCTTTATGCTTCTACTGGCGATTATGATCCAATCTCTTCATCATTATGCAGGTCATAAGTATAGCCTGCTGTGTATTTTATAGCCACTGTGGCAACCGCGCTATCTTGAGAGAAAAAACTTTTGAAAGGAAACATTCTAGTTGGTTTTCCTTTTGGAAGAAAGAAGATAGAAATGCATGGCTAGCAAAGTTACTTGATATGAATGAGTTGAAGGATCAAGTTTGCTCATCCTGGTTTGCTCCAGTTGGGTCTGCCAGTGATTACCCATTTTTGTCCAAGTGGGTTATCTATGGGGAGGTATACATGGATCAAACTTTTACTTTACATGATCTTTGCCTTTGAACTAGGGGTTTCAGAGTATATTTTCTGTTCACGTTACTGTTCTCAATGTTTTTCAGTTAGCTTGCAATGGATCGTGTGCTGGTCCTTCAGATGAAATCTCTCCCATATATTCATTATGGGCCACATTTATTGGTCTTTATATTGCCAATTATGTGGTGGAACGATCTACAGGGTATGTTTTGATCAGTTCTAAAATTATGTCAAGTATTATAAATTCTTATGTCTTTATGACTTTTTCAGACTTAAAAGATCATGACAAGGTTTATGCTTACACTGGTAGTCAGTCAACTTTCTAACCTAAAAAGCACCCAGCTGCAAATTCATCCTGATTGTCAAGTAGATTGGCTTTGACTATCCTGTATGTGGTCTAGAAAAAGGTCAGGATTTGCAGATGGATGTTTTCCTGTAATGAGATGATATGTAATCTAATACATCATTTTTTCCCCTTCAAAACCATCAAGTGTATGATTGCTCATTGCTCCAAGCCTATACCAATTAATTCTGACACCATATTCTTTTAACAGTTTCAGTTTTACTTCTAAGTTCGTGATCTTTGAAATTTACAGATGGGCCCTTACTCATCCCTTGTCAGTTGAGGAATATGAGAAGTTGAAGAAAAAACAGTTGAAACCTGATTTTCTAGACATGGTTCCTTGGTATTCAGGGTATGTATTCCTTGATTCTGATTATCTTTGAAAACAAAGAGAGAGCATTATTAACAATTCTCATGCCACTAATAACCCTTCTGGTGCTGATAACAATATGTTGCAGGACATCTACTGATCTATTCAAGACTGTTTTTGACCTTCTTGTATCTGTAACTGTATTTGTTGGTCGTTTTGATATGCGTATGATGCAGGTATGCTGAGTTATATCCATTTTAGCAATTTCTTATTTTCTTCTCGTTGTAAGTATAAACGTATAAAGCTTAGAAAACCCAGCTTTAACTATATGCCTGGGCTTCCCTGGGAAAGAAGAATCTCGAGAACAGATACACAAACACTTATTTTATAGACAGTTATTGTATTACTGTGAATAGAAAGGAGGGAGTAACAGGGACCTTGACAAAAAGGATAAGATGTATTAACTGTGATTTATTAACTAGGATTGACAAGATATGGTCTAATGTTGTTCTAAATAGAATTCAATGGTGGAACAGGATTCAGTGGAATTGTTATTATATTATTATTAAATAGGATATTAAACATATGGAATGATCTTTGAGAAATTTATATGCATGCTAATTATTGAATATCAGCACTTTAAATTTCCTTAATTTTGAGTATTTGTTACAGAGATTTTGAACATCACTTTTTTTTTTATCTTATCCTATTGTATTAGTTTAGGCCTGATAAACTGTATTACTCTTTAATTAATTAATTTATTTTTATTTTGTATACTTTTGAAATTGTACATATATTGCCTATTGAAAAAGATAATTCTTTGGGGGGTTGGGATTCATTCATCTGACTACACCCCTTATGTTTTGTGCTTTTCAGTTATCTCTTAATGTCTGAACCCTACGAATCTTGATCTCCTTGGGTCACATCACATGGTATCGGGCCTAGACTAAGACAATAGGATAAGATCTAAAAACACTATGTAGAAGCCCTCTGTTCACAATATTATGTTCCTACTCTTACCCCACTTTGGAGTTTGTTGAGTTTTTACTTGTAAAGGTCTGAAACACTTTGCACAACATCTTTTGAGATAATTTCCATTGTGGAGCAATTATTTAATCAATATTTATGGCAATGAATTTTGGGTGGGATTCGAGAGAGGTTAAAAATCTTCATATGGAGTTTGTATTTGGAAGGGGATAATGACTTTTTTTTTATCAATAACAGAAAGTTATATTAATATTGGAAAACAGGATTACATACAGCACTCCAGAGAGAGATAAAATGACTTAACTCTCCCCAAGAGAACAAGAAGAAGATATTACAAATTAGCCCAAAATATTTGATCCCTTCCCACCCCTGCTTTGCCAATGTATCTGCAAAGGCATTTGCAGTTCTCTTCGCCCAATGAAACTGAACTTCCAACCCCCTGGATAACCACTTAACCTCCCTCCTCTCATTGGCATATTTCCAGAGTCCACTGTCCTTCTCTAACCAGTTTAAAACCAGCTTTGAGTCTCCTTTGACAACTAGCTTTTGAATATTGAGCTCCTTTGCCTTCCTTAATCCTTCCATTAAAGCGTACATCATAGCTCTAAGAGTAACCAACCCCAATGGGACCTGAGTACATTGCGGCCACCTTCCCGTTTTCATCTCTGAAGAACCTCCTACTCCTGAAGGTCCTGGATTGCCCTCACTACTACCACCAAGGTTTAACTTTATAAAACCAGAAGCTAGTGGTGACCACTGATCACAGAGGACACGCAGTTGAGTGAGATGGTGCAGAATTTGCCACCTCCTTCCAACTGTTAAGCAGCATACTCGTGGAGACATCACCAAACAGATCCAAAGATTTTAGCCATTCCACCACATTAACTGTTATAACTTCAATGGTATCTTCTTTCTTCCTTCCCTTTTCAGAAAAAAATGTCCTTGAATTCCTTTCCTCCCATAGAGTCCAACACATGGCAGCTCTCACACATCTCCACACGATTTTACCCCTTTCTTTGGCCACCTAAAGAAAGGAGCAGCAAACAAGCCTTGTATACTTGGAGGAGGGATCCACCTGTAAACAAATAAGGCCATAAACCATTCCCAAATATCAGAACCAAAAGGGTAAGAAATTATAAGTGGTAGGGTCTTTTGCCATCAGCCTTTCGCAGGACGCACCAATTTGGAGACAATCACCAATTAGGCCTTTTTCTTTGGAGTAGGTCACAAGTATTGCATCTTTCCAACAAAAAGCTCCAGTCCTCGGAGGGATTGGTTTACCCCATACTTCTTTTACTGGGAAAGTTCTAGTCCTCAGAGGGGATAATGACTTTTTGTTCAACCTTTTTAAATTTTGTTTCTTTCAATGTTGGGAATGGAGAACACATTAGGTTTTGGGAGGATGATTGGTTTTGGGAGGATGATTGTTTCTTTCAATGTTTAGACTGAGTAGAAGAAATATTTCAATTGCCCCATGTTATGAAGTTATTCAAGGCGTGGTAGTGTGGTTCTCAAAGTTTAGAAGGCCTCTCCTTGATTGGGAATTGAAGGGACGTGTTAATCTTCTTACTATGATTCATATGGAAGAATTAAACTTGGAAAGAGCTTAAAGAGATTTTCCTAGCCCATAAGACATTTACATGGTCAAATCTCCAATCTAGACCCATTTGCTCTAAGCTGGATAGAKTMYTRWTCTCTTTGGATTGGGAAGAACATTGGGGAACCTTGGCTTCTAGAGCTCTCCCAAGGGTGACCTTGGATCATTGGCCCATAGTGTTATGTAAGGAGGAAGGAAGGTGTAGAGGTCCTACCCCCTTTAGATTTGAAAATATGTGGTTACTTCATCCAGGGTTTACTAACAAAGTTAGGGAGTGGTGGTACGAGTGTAACCCAATGGTGGAATGGGAGGGGATGGGATTCCATAAGAAACTACAATTCTTGAAAGCAAAAATCAAGGAGTGGGATTTGGGAGGATAGAAGAAAGAAAGGGAGCTCTAAGGATCAACTTGAAAGCCTTGACTCTAAAGAAGAAAGAAGAAATGGGAGAATTTGGAGAGGAAGACAATGAACTCAGGAGAGGTTTGAGAAGACAGTTAGAGGACTGCCTGCACAAGGAGGAAATTAGCTGGAGGCAAAAATCTCGGTGTAAATGGTTGCAAGAGGGAGACAGAAACACTAGGTATTTCCACTCTTTGGCAAATGGCAGGAAGGAAGAACTTTATCTCCAAATTGGTAGTAGATGGAGTTGAGTTGATACAACAAGAGGAGATAGCCGGGGCCTGTGTGGAGCACTTCAAATCCATTCTAAGAAGGCCTGTGAGTAGAAGGGTGTGGGTAGAAGGATTGGATTATCCAGATGTAGGGGTGGAGAACAGGAGAAGGTTGGAAAGAAGCTTTAATTTGAAAGAGATCAAGGAGGTTGTGTTTTCTATGGATAGAACAAAAGCTCCATGGCCGGATGGGTACACAATGACTTTTTATCAGGATTGTTGGAATATTTTTAAAGATGATCTTTTGCGGGTGTTTGAGGAGTTTTTTTGGAGAGGAATTGTCAATCCGAGTATGAACTCTACATTTATAGCCTTAATTCCAAAAAAGAAAGATGCATCCCACTCGAAGGATTTTAGGCCAATTAGCTTGGTWAATAGCTTGTATAAGATCATTGCAAAAGTGTTGTCTTTGAGGCTGAAGGAGGTATTGCCAGATATCATTGCACATTATCAAGGAGCTTTTGTGAGTGGAAGACAAATTAATGATCAGATTTTAATTGTTAATGAGAGTGTGGAGAACTTTAAGAGGGATAAGAAGAAGGGAGTGGTCTGTAAGTTGGACTTGAAAAATGATTATGACTTGGTGGACTGGGATTTCTTGAGGAAAGTTTTGACTAAATTTGGGTTTGGGGCTAGATGGTGTAAGTGGATCATGGGTTGTGTCCGGAATTGTCAATTATTCAGTGCTAGTGAATGGGACAGTGGTAGATTTCTTTCCAGCTAGTAGGGGTATAAGACAAGGAAACCCCCTCTCTCCTTTCTTGTTCATTCTAATTGCGGAGGTACTGGGGAAACTGATTTACAAAGCAGATTCTAGGGGGCTCCTTAGAGGTTGGAGAGTTGGGAGGGTGGAAACCCCCCTCACTGACTTACAGTTTGCTGATGACATGATTCTGTTTTGTGAAGGCGGTAATGTGAGCTTTATCAGGAACTTGAAGTCAGTGATACAATTGTTTGAGCAAATGTCCAACTTGAAGGTTAACCTTGGGAAAAGCTGTTTTGTGGGGGTGAATATGGAGGAGGGAGAGATCAGGGAGAGTGCTGAAGTCTCGGGGTGGCCTTTGAACTACTTAGGGTTGCCATTAGGTGATAATCCTATGAGAGAGAGCTTTTGGAACCCGGTGGTGGAAAGGTTTGAAAAAAGACTGGTATTCTGGAAAAAGAACTACCTTTCTCTTGGTGGGAGAATTACACTAATTAAGGCCACGCTTGCTAACTTACCCATCTTTTTCCTATCGGTGTTTAAAATCCCAGTGAAGGTTTCTAACAGATTGGAGAAACTGATGAGAGATTTCCTGTGGGAACCGGGAGAGGAGAAGAGGGATCATAGAGTTAGCTGGGAGATAGTGTGTAGGAGTAAGACTTGTGGTGGTTTGGGGCTTGGGAATATTAGGAGAAGGAATATGACTCTGTTGGGAAAGTGGTTGTGGAGGTTCCCAATGGAGAAGGAGAAGCTATGGGCTAAAATAGTGGAAAGTATACATGGGCTGGAGCACAATGGATGGGACGCTGGAATCAGAGCTAGGATCACAAGCAATTCTCCTTGGAAAGCCATTCATGACCTGCTACCAGTATTCTCCCCTAATATCAGGTATGATTTGAATTCCGGTAAGTCCATAAAATTTTGGGAACAAACCTGGGTGGGGAGTGTCCCTCTAAAGGATCAGTTTCCTTCTTTGTATGCTCTATCTGATTTGAAAAATGAGCCAATCTCATCTTTCACCACCCCATTCTCTTCCACTTCTGGGATTGGGTGGAATTTGGGTCTAAGAAGGGATTTGAGGGACTCAGAATTTGACAGTATTTTGAGCCTTACTGCACTTCTTGATAACGTTGTCTTAGACCCCACTAGGGCGGATTCTAGAATTTGGACACCTACCCCCAATGGCATCTTTTCTTGTGCTTCCTTCTTCAAAGTCTTAAGTTAGTCCACCAATCCTACTTTCCCCCCTTTCCCTGTTGATGAGGTTTGGTGCAGAGCAATACCTCTTAGGGTTGGTAGTTTTTGTTGGGAAGCCTATCTGGAAAGAATCAACACTGGTGATCTACTCCAAAAGAAGAGACCCAATACTTGCTTGTCATCTCATTGGCGTGTTCTTTGTAAAGCGGATGGGGAGATTGGTTTACACCTACTGGTGTCTTGCCATCTTGCAAGGTCAATTTGGGATTGGGCTTTCTCCCTATTTGGATGTAGCTGGAATCCTCCATCAGATTTCCAGGGCCTTTTTTCCCCTTATTTTTTCAGGTGGCGGATAAAAAGGGGAAGATGTGGAGAGGACTAAGGGCTGCAGTATGTTGGACACTTTGGGAAGAAATTCAAGGATATTCTTAGAAGCTGAGAGAGGAGCAGCAAATCTGAGGGCTATCATACATATTAGGGCTGTACAATGGCTGAAATCTTTGGAGCTATTCACAGATTACACTGTGGATGACATGTTGAGGAAGTGTGGTGAAATTGCAAATTGCACACAGACCAAGTCAGTAATGAGTGTGTCTTGGACCCCTCCACCTATTGGATTCTTGAAATTAAACTTTGATGGGTGTGTAGGGGAAATCCGGGACAATTTGGGGTTGAGGGTGTTTTTAGGGATGAGAATGGGGTCATTTCTRCCATGTTYTCAGGCCCAATTGGAGTGGGTGACTCCCTTAGAGCTGAGATCTTTGCAGTTATGGAAGGAGTCCAGAAAGCTAAGGAGTTGAACATCAGGAAACTCATAATTGAAGGGGATTCAGAGGTGGTGATAGGGTGGCTGAGTAAAGATAACAATGGCTTATGGAAGTACAGCAATGAGAGGAGGAAATTTAAGTGGCTGGTGCGGGAGATGGAAGTTAAGATATGCTGGGTTAAAAGATCGGCTAATTCCCTAGCTGATGGTTTAGCTAAACAAGGGGCAGAAAGGGATTCACTGTTTTGGGCTAAGCTGTAACTTTAGTGTTTTTTTTTTCCTTTTCTTTTTCCTTTTCTTGAGGTCCTTTGTTGCTCTTGGAGGATAAGTGTGTTTGTCTTCCTCTTGTAAATCTTCTATTGATGATTTAATGAAAGTGTTATTGATAAAAAAAAAGAAAGAGCTGATTCAAAATGGTGGAAGGAAAGTAGTAAAGGAATGTTCACTGTGAAATCTTTCTACAATGCTTTGGCAAGGAATCAAGTAGAAAGGGAAGTTGTGAAAAGTTTTTTTTTTTTTTTTTGATAATTGAAAAAAATTTTATTAGAAAATGTAGAAAACAGATACAAATATGCCATGGAGAGGCATGCTCTGCGACCTCTCCAAACAATCATATCCAAAAACAGACTACAAAGTTGTGAAAAGGGTTTGGGGCTATCCTATCCCTCTTAGGGTGGAAGCATTTGCCTTGTGACATTGGATAGGATTCTTACACAAGATCATATCAAGAGTAGGGGCATCCATTTGGCAGGAAGAAGCTGTCTTTGACTCTGTCTTCTAGAGGATGAGAATGTGCTTCATCTCTGTTTTGGCTGTTGTTATGCAAAAATTATTTGTGGTTTCTCTTTCTCGGTTTTCAGAAAGGATATGTTGAACCCAAGATCTTCGGTTGAAAACTTTGCTTGCTGGCCAGTTTTGAATGGATAGGAAAGAAAATATTATATGGAGCTGTGTGCCCTTTGTAGTCTGTTGGGAGATATGGAAAAAAAACACTATGTAGAATATTTGAAGACGAATACAAATCTCATGATCATCTTGCTTCTAGAATTTGCAACAGGATTAAATGGGTCCTGATTCTTCCAGAGTTTGATGGGGACAGCAGAGTCGTTTGAGTCTGGCTTTGGGAATGTAATGATGAGTGATATTGGGAGAAATTGATGTCCTCTGTATGTTTTTTCTTCTGTTTTGGACTTGCTGTTTGTTGTTTTGTCTTTTGGGTGATATCTCATCACCTGTAGTTTTGCCTTGTAATCTCTCTTTTTTTTTATGAATAAAGTTTTTCTTCTTTTATTAAAAAAAGATTTTATGACAGAAATTTCTTGTACTTTGCTTTATTTTTCCCTTGGCAATTCAAAATTAGTGTTATACTGCAATCATCCTATCATTCTTATTTGACTTGAATCACTTAGTAATTGGAAAAAGTCCATATATCTCTTATTGAAATGTCTATGATTATTTTATTTGTTTGCCGAAGCATGTTGCTATCTGCATATATGTGCTATGTTGCATAGCTTATGTTTTTTATGAGCTTTTTTTTACTGAAAGTCTGCAACATATTATTATCTCTTGTTTGTGTATATGGGATAGCCTTATTATTTGGATAAAGTTTAAATTTCAAAAGTTGCATTATGCTTAGGCTGCAATGAGCAAGGTTGAACATGGAGTTGAAGAGGGTGATCTTTTATATGACCATTTTAGTGAAAGGGAAGAACTGTGGTTTGATTTCATGGCTGATACAGGAGATGGTGGAAACTCGTCCTATTCTGTTGCTCGTCTGCTTGCTCAGCCTTCCCTTCAGCTCTGTCATTGCAATTCTGTGCGTGTCCTATCACGTGGAGACTTACTTCTTATTGGAGGGGATCTTGCGTAAGCTGGTCCTTCCTTCTGCTTTATGGTTTTTACAGAAAAAGAAGAAAAGGGAAAAATATTTTACCTAACACTAGTGCTTGATCTACCAAGTAATATAAGGCATGCTATTTTATGTCATTTTCTGAGTATTGTTCGAATGCAATTAATCATAGAAAAATCATTATGATTCCTTAATCCTTATATCAGACTATCAGTGATAAAGGAATAGCTATTATTGAGGAAAAAAAGTTACAATCTGAAGGGTGTCAAGGTAAACACCTCAGAACACACTAACCAGCAAAAAAAAAGAAAAAAGAAAAATGTATTCCCTCAAAGGTGGCTTTCTTTGTCTGGTCTGCCTATCTGAATAAGATCCTCACTAAGGACAACCTGTTAATTAGAGGAGTGATGTTTGATTCAGAAAAATGTGTCTTATGTAACAGGGTAGGAGGATCTGTCAATCATTTGCTATTGCATTGTAATTTAACTTATGGCATTTGGGTGAGAGTTTTTAAGATCTTTGCTCTCAAGGGATGCTGTCCAGCATCTATTGAAAACCTTTTGAAAGGCTGGCGGATCAAAGGACTGAGTAGGAGAGGACAAGCAATTTGGCAAATGATTCCAGGAGCAGTGTTCTGGGTTGTATGGCAGGAAAGGAACTCAAGGGTTTTATCAAAAAATAAATAACTAAATAAATAAAGGAACTCAAGGGTTTTTTCAGAATAAAGTTTGTAAAGCTGAGGCAGTGTGCCACAAAATAGTGGGCAAACTGTTCTCTTGGTTAGCAGCTCAGTTTCATTTGGATAGATCATGTTGTAGCTCTCTTTTTTATTTTGAAAATCTTTTTTGTAAACACAAGAGATAGTGGTCTATTTTTCTTTTTGTTTCTCTCCGTTTTACATCTTCTGGTTGTACAGAGGTTTTTTCTTCTCTATTGAAATCATACTTTATCTCTTCTCAAAAAAAAAAAAAAAACCTACTCTGTTTACTTGAGCAAAATCTGGAAGGACCATCACCCAATGTGGCAATCTGCCACTGTCTCGCCAATGGAGGCCACCAGCTTCTCAATATTCCCACAAAATTACCAAGCCCCCAGAAAAGTCCTCCACATTTAACTCCAGCCACTCTCCACTGCTAGAACCCTAATTTTCTAATCTCATATCAAAACTCTGCAACTGTCTCTTGTAACAACACCATTTTTGGTTTTTATTTTCTTAAAATATCATCACCACAAGCCTTCTTTCCTCCCTCATATCCCTTACGTTCCAACTCAGCAGCTTCATCCCTAACTGCACAACCCTCTGCCCCACTTAATCCCCCCAAACACCAAACCCCTTACTCTTCCCCTTCAAAGGTTTCTTCTTGAACTTTTCCCCCATCCCAAACCTCACTCCCTCAACTCTTACCTTCTTTTTGTTCTCTTCCTCTCTTATACTTTTTTCAAAAATGTTCAATGGCTTCCTTGTGAAGCCTTCTCCACTCAGAAAAACAACCCAAGTGGTTTTCCCACCACCACATCCCTCTCCAATATTACATTTCCCATTTTCTACAATCCCTTCACCTTAGCCTTCTCCTTCCCCCCCCTTCAGCCTCACCAAACTCTTCCCCTTCTCCCACCCCTTCCACCTTATCACCAATGCCTCTAGATATGCCATGACAAGCCTCATCTTTTGATTGTACACTCTACTTTGAAGACTACCCTTTCGACCCAATAGGACATTTCCGATTCTAATGAACTCCCCTAGCCTCACCTCCATTTCCCCCTTCTTTTCCTTCATCACTTCTTTCCTAGGTTCACCCAAATCAACACTACAAGGCACAAAAACTGGACTTACCTCACCACTATGTAGACTTAACACTGTCATTCACGTCACCCGTCCCCTTCTCTGGTTCAAGTATTCAACCTCCCTAGCTTTCTCCAACGTCTTCTCCACCCTCACCCTCACCTCCTCCTGACTTGCTATGACTTGATTTGGATTACTTGTAACGTACTAGGAAGGCAAGGGTTCTCACCCCCTATCGAACCACCTACCTCCTTCGACTGAACCTGCACCCCAGTGGAGACCAAATCAGCCCCCCACAACGTCCCACAGCACATCCCCGCCATGTATTGGGAACATCTCCTGATGATAATCTCAGAAATGATGATGTCATCATCAAGAGATGTTCTCAATACACGGCGGGGATGTGCTGTGGGACGTTGTGGGGGGTTGATTTGAACTCACCCCAGTGCCCCTTGAACCAGCTACGTCATTTTCACCTGCAATGTCCTCCACTGGTTGCTATTGCGTTGTCTTCACTGTGGTCTTCCTTCCCATTCTCCCTCTTCTTCAACATCATCTTCTTTTTTCTCCCTTTCTCATATCTCATAACAAACCAGACCTGCTCCTCCTTTGAAAGCCCTTTTACCAGTAACCTTTCTGTTGTTCAAAATCCTTGGCCCCTTAATTATTTTCTATCCTTTTCCTATAACACCCCTGTTAAGACCCTTAACTTTGCCCATCGCTTATTCCTTTTAAACTCTTGTATTTTTCTTCTTAAAGTGGTCTTCATTCAGGCTACTCAACTCCTTGAAACCCGCTATTGTTGTTTCCCTTACAATTTCAAAAACATTTCAGTTGACTTTTTGGGTTCCACTCTCACCACACCCTCACCCTCCATGTGTCCCTCTCGTTGTGATTCCACATTGAATTCTTCCTCTGAACTTCCCATTTTTCCCTTCGAAAGTGCCACCTCATCATTTTCCTTCTCTGTCGACTTTTCAACTCCCTCTTCTCAGTTCTGAATCTCTGGTTCTTCCCTCAGAGGTCCAGCTTGTCTAAATCAACCTCTCCACAATAATATTTCGAATCTGCCCTCAAGAAAGTCCCCTTCTCCCCATCTGCAACTGTTCTCAATTCATAGCTTCCCCATACAAACGGAAGCTCCAGCTTGTTTGGAATATCAGCGGCCTCTGCCACTTCCACCAATAATCTAGCCATATCCATCCTTTCCCAAGTCCTTTTCCTATCATCATATTTTAAAAGTCTTCCAAAGCTGTCCCCAGTCTCCTTAAAGGTAAGTATGCTCTAGGCGTGAAGAGGGATACCCACCACTCCTAACGACAGCTCTTGTCTTCTTCTTGCTTCAGCTTCACTAATTGCCCCTTCCGCCAGGAACAACCAGATTAACCAAAGATTGCAATCCCTCACTTTCAAATTTTCTGACTCCAAAATCCTCTCTGCTGTTTCTCTATCGTAGAACATAAACAGCAACCCTCCGTTTAACTTCCTCACACCCATCACTCTCCCCTACCCCATATGAGAGCTGCCCAAATTTTAACCTTATCCTCTTCAAAATCCTTCCCCACAAACCTCCCTACTAGGCTTGCCAACACCATCATCCTTTCAATCATCTTCCCAACTCTCCTCACAACCATGTGAACCACCGCCTGGTACATTGCCATCTTCTCCCAGATCAAGGAAAAGAAACAAAAAACCTTAAAAGGAAGGACCCCAACAACAGTTTCTTAATCTGAGTTTAGGCCTGCATCAGAAAATCATCATGCAAAATGTTAAAAAAGAAATGTTCCAAAGCATTTGAAGTCTGAATAACATTTGGGGGTTTGAGTTGTATGTATTCATAATTGTATGTATTTGAAGTCTGAAGTCTGAATACATATATAGTTGTATGTATGTATGTATGTATGTACACACGGCACATACACATAGAGGGAAAAATAAGATCCAAAAAAGATAATAGAGGGAAAACTAATCTATCAAGGAAAAATATGTTCTTTTGAGAAATATCAGTTTTGTATCTTTTGTGATTTTGTCACTTTATATGATAGAAAGTTGACAGAAGAGGCGGTATGTGCTTTTTTTCTACAAACCAGAAGGGAAGTTACTGCATATTCCAGAAACCTCAATGGTTGTTTGTGAAATTGACAAAAAAGGTCAGGGAAGGTGATTATATTTTCCCCCAAAGATTGTACATGTTTAAGCACAAATAACATAATGGTCAAGATCAGGAAAGTGACAACTAGACAAACTTTGTACTGGGGGCCTAATTCACCTGGTTAAGGGCCATGTTTTTCATTCTTTGGCATGGAATATAGGCAGTTATGGGTAAGTGTAGAATAGTGAGCTAGCCCTCTTTCATTCTGTGTTTCTGATGTAACCTTTTCATTTTACTCGGCTTTATCTCTCCATTAATAAAATGTTTCTTATCTGTTACTGATGAAAAAACACAAATAAACATATAAATGTAATCATATCTATGTATGCACAAGCACCGGAGAAAAACAAAGGAAAGAGAAGAAAAATAGAGAGCAAAAAAAAGGTGAGATTGGAGGGTTCCATAGCTTTAGTTAAGTGAGTACCTCAGGCACCTCAGGCACCTCAGGCTTGTCATAGTGAAAGTGAAAGTGCCTTGCTTCAGGTGAAGCAATTTGTCAGTCAAGCTATTTATTTATTTATTTTTGACTAGATTGACTGAGTTGCACTGCTTCTGTGGTATTTACATCCTTGCATTTTCCAACCATGAAGCTAATTTAGCACTGCCTTTTGCAGATACCCTAATCCTTCTGCATTTAATTATGAGAAACGTCTTTTTCGCCCTTTTCAATATGCTCTCCAGCCTCCATCTTGGTATAAACTGGATCATATAGCAGTAAACAAGCCAGAGTTACCTTGTTCAGTGTCTCAACTGAAGTGCTATGAGGGACCTCAGTGTTTCATAATACCTGGAAATCATGGTTAGTGTTAGCTCATTGCCTTTATTTACTCGAAACAAATTTATATGGATTTTTTATTAGCAAATGAATTTCTTTTTTAGTCAGTTGATCTATGCGTCATTGTTTGATTAATTATATCTCTCAACTGATATTTAACTCATCCTTTGGTGTTTGTAAAGATTATTGATGTAATGCTAATTGGGTGGGTGGTTGCAGATTGGTTTGATGGACTACATACTTTTATGAGGTATATATGTCACAAAAGCTGGTTGGGTGGGTGGTTTATGCCTCAGAAGAAGAGTTACTTTGCTTTGCAACTCCCTAAAGGATGGTGGGTATTTGGTCTTGACCAAGCTCTTCACGGTGACATTGATGTGTACCAATTCAAATTCTTCTCAGAGCTAACCAAAGAAAAGGTAATACCCATGGTTTTCATTTGGTACTGTTTAGCTCTTTAACAAGGTGGCTGCAGTGTATAGCTGCACTGAATTTCTTTTGCATCTTTAACATGAATGGATGAAATTGATGTTATTTTACAGCAATTGCCTGTATCATAGGCATTCTTTTTTCTTCTTTTTCTTTAGAAAAAGGCTACTATTCATTCAAAAGGAGGCAACCGGGGTGGGGGGGAGATGTACAAGCAAATGTCCTAGGCATTCATTTTTCATGTGATACATTGTTGCTGTATATTTACTGTGTAAGTCTTCCCTGGAATAATTAGTTTTTTCTTTTCCATGTCTTAGTGCTAGTTTGATACACACACACATACATACATACATACATACATAAGGTTGTTATGGTACCAATTTGTACAAAAGGATTAGAGACTCAGTGGTTTTGGTGCAATTCAGCCAACATTGCAACTGACGCAGGTCTGTTTAAATTTACCATATGTTGGAGAAGTATATGACTGTCTGGTATTATTGTATTGTTTTCTTTTGGTAAGTGGATGGAAGTTCCATAGTGAGATGGGGGCAAAATTCAAGAGGGATCAAATGTCATTGAAAAAAATTAATTGAACATAAAAGTGTAGTAGTGAAAATCCTTCAAAATTATTCAGTATTATTAACCAAAAAAAAAAAAACTAGAATAGTTTATCTATGTTCTTCTCAAAGGCCAAACCTGTTTCAGAAAATTGACAGCATTCTTTTGTTATAAATCGACTAAAATTGTGCAAAGGCAACAGTGCCACAAAATTGCCCTTTTTTTTGCTAAAAGCTTAAACTAACAAGGTCATGACCACTATAGGGAATGCGGCTATGCCCATTCAGTTTCAAGAGAAATGTTTCTGCATGTTAGATGTAAACTTGCAGCAACTAAGATGATTAACTGATTTATTTGTTGCTTTGAATATCTAGCACACGTATATGAAGCCTTCTAGGAATCAGGTTGATAACATTTTGTCTAGAAAAGCAAGTCACATAAAAAAGGCAGGGAAAGAGTCTAGAAAAGCAAGCAGCATTTTCCCACTCTGAACAAAAGATGGGTTTATGATTGAAACTTGAAAGGAGTTATGTGTTTCTGATGACCCAGAGGCTCGATGAATTGGCCAACTTCCAAGTTGTGGTTCATCATCTAAATGTAGGAGATCAAACAAGCTGCTCCACTGCCATGTCATAACATTTGCGAAAACTCTTCCATCAAATCATTTGGAAGTGGCCATCTGATAGAGATCTTGAATGTTCTTTACTGCATACTATCAGGAAAAATGTTATCCGGGAACTCATTCTGTTTCCCTTTCCTGCAATGATGACCATGGTTTCTTGTTGATCTTAAGAGTTGGTCAAAACTCAACTCTGCACTATTTTTTTTTGATAAATAAAAAATACTTTTATTCAGAGATATTAATATAGAAAAATACAAAGGGAGGGGTAAAAACTCTTAACCCTCCCAAGAGAACATTTCGGATTATAATGTTGCCCAGAACAGATTATATCTTCCCACCCCTTGTTTAGCCAATGAATCTCTGGCAAGGAATTGACACACCTCTTAGTCCACTGAAATTTGACTTCCATATTTTGTATGAGATATCTAATTTTCTTCTTTTCATTCAGAAACTTCCACAAACTAGAATGATCTTTCATTAACCAGTTGATAGTCAAATTAGAATCACCTTCCACTATCAGGTTTCTGATATTTAATTCTCGAGCTCTTTTTAACCCTTCCATAACAGCCAATATTTC